TAAGCAATGAGGCGTTGTCCTCAAACAATCTGGAACAACAGTTTGAGAGAGCTATAAACTGCCCCATTCATCTGAATGATGTGTAACAACATCTATTTTAATATCAGTTACAAAGCTGAGATAAATCAGGCTAAGCAAATATAAATGCCAAAATATCTTGTATTACCAAAGTTTTTTTTTTCCATAATCATAAGAAAAAATAATCCAGTGCATGATTTGTAACAACTAAATCAGCTAAAAAAAAAGTCATTTGATCCTGGAATTCAGACAATCTATGCCAAGTTTTAACTTACAGGAAATATTTTGACCCTTAAAATCCCAGGCTTTTAGAAGAGAAATACCACTACATCCTTGACTATAACAACCGGCTGCTCAATTAGTAAATGGCACAAGAGTTAAGTGCCTGGTTATGCATTGCTTTATTCATGTGAGTAATAGCTACTCTTGGCAATACTCCTATCGATACTATGATATCTGTGATATAAAAATTGCCCATCAATGTATCTGTTTATTCAAGACTAATTTAATTTCTTCTCGAGATTTTAGGCAATTTTCATCATTTGCATGAGTAAAGCAAGAATCCAGAAGAAAATACAGGAGTCTAAAATTCAGATGGAAACCTTTTATGTAAAATAAATGATAAAATCTAGGTGCCTTTGCATCTGAATGATATCCTTAGGGCCTTGCTGTCTCAAACACATGCCTTCAAAATTTGATGTATTGCTGATGTCAGTACGGCATACTTGATATACGGAGCTAGAATTTATATATTTTTAGACCTTAAAACTGCAGCACCTCATTTAAGTGATTCATATCTGGTTAGCCACAGAACTGGTAATTTGTGTAGCCCGTACATTTTCTATAAACTCCGTAAGGAAATAGGGGTCTGGACTGAGACCTAAAACCGAGAGTGTTTCTGCCTTCTGTTCAAGAATAGATTGCAAAATATCGGGCAAGAAGGAAGTCCTTTCTAAGCCTGTGTTCATAAGTATCCAACTCTCCATTTAAATAGACCATCCATAAACGACAAGCTGGAAGTATGTTTCCATTGTAACTTAAATTTTACCCTTTGTATGTAAAACACTGATTTCAATTTATCAGAAATGTGTGTTGAGAGTTAATCAAGTATGTGAAGTAAGGAATGGAATCTTTGCTTGTAAACCCCTATTCATATATTTGACTAGTAAAACCACAAAGCAGAATCAGAACTCACAAAACTAAGGTTCTGCTTAATAACGGTGTGATAATTTCCCATTGCTCTGTAAAGCTCCTATTTGTCTTGAGAATTGTTGTGTGTCACTCATCTTGTCTCATTCTACGTAGGCTCTTTTCTAATCCACCCTCCCAAATTCCTGCAATGTGCAAGTTATGGAACTTCACTAGCAGAGTAGAACAGTGTGCTGTAAAACATATCGCCAGCTAAATAATACATTAGCCTCCCCTTCCATGATAATGTTAATGGTTACTTTCAAGGAATCAAAAAGAATAATTTTTTGCGCCTAGATAAAAAAGTTATTGACACCATGTCAACATGGATGAAAATGAGTTTATTCTTCATGTCAGCGGATTGTTAAACTTCTGTAGTTACACCAGCATTGGTTTATGCTGAAGACGTTGGGCCAGCAGATTTAAGCAGTCCTTCTCTCTTCCTCGATATTAGTTGAGCCACAGTGATATACATCAGCTGAGAATCAATGATATACAGCAGCCGCCTTCCAACATTTTGTCCTCCTGTCATCTTTAATTTCAATGGGTTACCACAGTGCAGTAGAATTTTAGTCTTCATTTATCAAGGAAGTTCATTGTCATGGACAACTCTCGCAGTCAGTGAAATGTGCCTTGGAAAGGCAGTAAATAAGTTTGTCAATGGTGATGCATATATGGTCACTATTAATGACTTTTTTGCTGATATCTTTTATTGGATCAACTGTGTAGTTGGGAGAGATGTTAGAAAAACATTCAGGTGCAAAGTGATCTCTGGATCCCTACATCTTATATTCATGCTATATGCTCTACAGCCCATTTTTTAAATAGAAATGATTTTACTCGCCTTCCTTACCAAAGCAGTACATGGAATTAATAATAGTTAAATATTGCAGAGCACTTTGAAAATTAAAAGGCTGTCTGTCTGCCTACCTTTCTTGAACTCCTCAGTGATTAATGACAAATTATCATGATTATTTATTTATGCATAATATTAATATAAAGAGAGAGAGATCAAGGAACCCAATTCTCCTTTTACTTGCACTAGAGTAATGTCACTGACTTCAAAGCTACACCTGTTCAACACTGAGAGGATAACTGGATCCCAAGAAATCAATGCAAAGGTTTTTGTATCTTGCTGGTTAAGTACAGACAGTCAAAAAGCCCAATACTGAATCAATTCAATCTTTGCAGGTTAGTCTAAGCTGCATAGATTGAACCAATAAGCAAGTGAGCAGACATTCACTTTTCATTTTGGAATTGCAGCCACATGCCTGCAGAAGCCCACCAAAAGCCAGTGGGTGCTAGAGCACATCTCCCTGCTCAGTTGGAGCAGACAGCTTAGGCCACGGCTATCCCACTCATCCTGCAAAGGGGCGGGGGGAGGTTTGCAAAGCATCCTGGGATGCTGGAGGACTGAGAGTTAACTTGAATATGGAGGGGATCTGGAACAGAATTTCAATAAGCTGATTTAACCTAATCAGTTAAGTCTGATGCTACATCCATCCAGATTTTTCTTAAGCTGGTTTTGGCCATTTTGAAAGTGCTTTATGTGCTTCTGTTGTGTTACAGATTTGAACCAGTTTCCGATCGCTTATAGTGGTTTATGCATAACTTCTGTCCCTAGCCAGTGTTAATGCAATTGCACGTGCATAAGGGAAATAGACATGTGTTTTACATTCAGACAGAGAGAGACATATTGACATATATAAAATACAGAAAGACATTTGGATTCACTATATATTTTCACAAGATCCTGATGTATTTACTATTCTTGTTGAAGTCAACATGAGTTTTGTCTATGGAGTGAATAGAAGCTGAGTAACACTAGTTGTCAGTCATTTATGTCTATGCAGAGAGATGCTCATATAGGGCAAATGTTTTATGTCTTCACCTGCTGTCCTTAATCAACATAATAGCAACTGCTGTCTAGATAAACCTAGCAAGTTGGAAAGCATTCAGGTTCTCCTGAATATAGGCACTTGGACAAATGAACACAAGGTGGGTATTAAACTATACTAATTCATTTTTCTTAGCATCATAAACCCAGACTGGCTTACACTAAATAGCTTCAGTATTGAAAATATTGCCTCACAGAAGCAGTTCTTTTCAGCTTCATCCACAGGGTAATCGTTGTCCCTGCAAGTGGCCCTGCAGTATGTGTTTTATATTTGACGGGGCATTGTCAAACATTTTCATCCTTTTTAACAGATTCACCGATCTGCTGTCCTATGTGAAAACTTGCACAATCAGAACAATACTTCTTCAGTCTTGAGTCTTGCTCCATTCCATATATTCAGAGTATCCTCAGAATAGGTAACTTAAAAAGAAGACAGACAGCATGCCCTGGTCCACCTATTTGTAGAAAGTGTATTAAGTATCTCACATTGTGTATTCCTCACTGTAGCAATGTTTTCAATACTTTTGAGTCCTATTCCTAACATTGTTTCTAATAATTGTATGTCACCAATTTACAAATCATTACAGAGCTGTATTTGAATAAAAGTTAGAAATCTGAAAATACTGTAAAAAATTCCCAGATGTATCTCACAGTGATCATTGATGCCAACTGGTTGTTAAGAGCTCTCCGTAACTTATGGGTTCAGATTTTAGGTGCAGATTCTTTAAAGATGTTTCACAATGCTAGTAAAAGGTAGCTGTAATAAAACTTCCTAGCAAGTTATACTCACTTATAAATTATCAGTGGAGTTTGTCTTTCATAATGGCCAGAGCCTAATTTCATCTGAAGTGGCACTAACCCTAGATTTACACTGGTATTTTTTAAACCTGAGTCTGACCTTCACACACTGAATTAAATACATGCACAATATTCATAAATGAGAACACTAACAGCTTTTATAAGATCATAGCGCAGTGTGGTTTATGGATACTTGCACTAGCTTTTTAAATGAGCTAGCCAAAGTACTGGAGGCAATATAGCTGTATATAGCACAGAGCTCAGCACAGGCAAAGCTACTTATAGTATGTGACCTAACTCTGATATCGCTATCTCAGAGTGTAGTGTACACATAGGCGCTGACTTCCTGGGTGCTCCAGGGCTCAAGCACCCGCCTGAAAAAATAGCAGATGCTCAGCACCCATGGAGCTACGCTTACAGTCATTTAAAAAAAACACAATGCTTTACTGGAAGAAGCAGTGCATTACCTCAGCCTGGTTCTGCAGTGTCTGTAAAGATTGGATGCTTCAGCGGGGCTTTATGGTGCTTTTAGCTAAAGTCAACTCAATTAGCTATTAGATAAAAGTACCAGAAAAACCCCACTAAAGCATCTGATCTTTGCAAAGCCAGGCTGAAATAATGTGCTGGCCCTTCTGGGCATGCATGGGGCTTGGCATGGGAACGCACCAAGTTAAAAGTAAAGCACCATTTTTTTTTGGTTGGGGGGGGGGAGGTTATGTCTGCAAGCACCCACCAGAAAAACAAGGTTGGCACCTATGAGTGTAGACATACTCCCAGGTGTTGTTGAGTCTCAGCTAATATATCTCACAATGATCATTGATGCCAGCTGGTGGTTAAGAGTTCTCGTAACTTGTGGGTTCAGATTTTAGGTGCAGATTCTTTAAAGATGTTTCACAATGCTAGTAAATTAACAAAGCCAACTTCAGTAGTATTATAGCTACTTCCCTCATTCTGATGCGTCTCTCAAAGTGCTATGCTTGCCGCTTAGTTTAACCCAACTCAATTAGCATGATAATTTATAGTGACTCTTCTTTAGCTCTTACTGCACATTTCCAAGTCATTTTATTTGTAATAGTGTCTCATGTGTTATGTCTCCTAGCTCTACATACAAACTACCACACTTACAATATCCATGAACTTAAGTGCTTCAGTGGCCCTGGGGATGCTTTACATGCCGAAAGTGTACATCATCATCTTCCATCCTGAACTAAATGTCCAGAAACGGAAACGCAGCTTCAAGGCCGTAGTGACAGCAGCAACTATGTCATCGCGGCTTTCGCACAAACCTAGTGACAGGCCCAATGGGGAAGCAAAAACAGAACTTTGTGAAAATGTAGACCCAAACAGTAAGTACTTCTAATCTTATTACTTGGCTTCTTGTGTATTTTGCAGATGTATTAACCTATATTCTGTTTTTATAACCTGATCTCTTCCATTAAATATTTTAAATACAAATAATATAGAACATAAAATATTATTTTAGTATCTCTTTTTATGATGATAACTCCTTTTCTCCTCACTGCTTTGAAACAATAACCCATCCTACTATGCTTAAGCATGTTCTCTTCTAAAGATTGGTCTGGCTACACTTAAATTAATGTTAGGCTTTCCACTGATTTCAAAGGAAACTAGCTAGGATAAAACTGCCAATTTTCTTTATGTGCATGGCATGGTATATAGAAGCACAAAATGACATAGTGAAGCCATCAAATTTTATTTCCATTTGCATTTGAATCTGGAAGGAATTCAGGAAGGAAACAGCTGCACAACTTTCTGGCATATTGGAAAAGTTTAGGAACGTCTGCAATTTTTATGAAAACCAGATCCAAATGTGAAGGAATGCCTTTCATTGCCCATGTTCAGTTCATCCATTAGCTTCTGAAATCTCTGCCACTTTTTATCTATTAAAACTACTGTCTGAATAGCTGCCTCAAAACAGAAAGCACAGTAGAAATGGCTAGCAAATTACTGATGCAGCACTTTCCCTGTCTTCATTCACCACTCCCTTTGGGTATCTTTTCTTTGATGATTTTTTTCAGACACATACACAAAATATATTCTAGCTGCTGTGAGAAACTTCTTCAGAAGTTATGGACTCCCTCATTATTGATAAGCGCGACAGTTATGAGGCAGTAAAGAAATATTCTAAAACAATTAAGGAACAATTTCTGCCATATTTACTAATGTTCAATGTTAGTTAAGCAGGAGTGCCAGTGAAATCAACTGAATAGTCTGAATGAGGTTGACAGAAATTCTCCTAAGTTAAATTCATATTATTCAGTATCATATATCACCAAATTAATTCCTCCCCCCTTCATGTTTTCCCCTTCCCTGTAAATCCAGTCACTGCTACATTTACCTTGAGTATATGTACAGGTTGTGCTTAGAGTCACCTAGCTAGGGTTAGGTCAGTCTAAGTGTGGACAGTCCAATGTTTGGGTAGTTCAGCTGGGGCAAGAAATGGCTCGCCTGATCTTAGTTCACCTAAGGAGATGCTGTACATAGATTGTAGATTGGGCTAACCCTAACCTAACTGAAAGTGTGTATGCTTTTGGAGCACAGCCCCAGGGCTCCTGCCCCCACTCCCCGCCTTCTTCCCCCCTCCTCCTTTAGATTTTGCAGTAAAAATTAACAATCTGCATTTTTTCATATAAGCTGAAAATTTTCAGCCCAAACTTTTGGGTTTAAAATTGAAAATTCCAGTTCAGAAATGTTGCTGCAGTGCCTTCTCTTTTCCCCTATGGGTCATGTTGAATTTCATCTTCCAAGATCTTCTTGGTCTTCCGAGATATTCCTGAACTGAAACTTTCAGTTTTTGAATGCTCATATTTTTTAAAGACAATATGAACTTTTTAATGGAAATAAAAGTTTTAGGAATACTGTCATTTTCTGAAAATATCAATTTTTCTTTCAAAAAGGGGAGTTTTTGGCCAGCACTTTGTAACAAGTTTGGTTTTTCATAGGTATCCATTAGGAGTAAGTAGACCCATGCTTTAAATCTGGAGTACAGCCAAGAACACAATGACACCTATAGAGCTTTGCTACTCGCATGTGTGCCACAAAAATCTTTTTTATATTCTCCTTTATTTCCATGACAGACTCCTAGATATCTAACTATATTTGTTTAATTTAACCTACCAGGTGATGTGCTTATAATGTATTGAGCTGTGTGACTTTTTCCAAATACTATTTTGCTTAGTTTTATATAATTCTCCAATTACAATCTTTCTTTAAAATACTTTCATTATAGATACACAATGTTCATGCTAACTGAGGCATCTACTCAGGTTGTCTCATTTGTAGAACAGGTGCATTGATGACAATACTTAGAAAATCAAAGAATCTCAACTGTTTCTGTGCCTAAAATGTTTTCACACGTAAGTTCTGGTGTGAGGGCCAGCTTAACAAAATATAAATTAGCGGGTGTTTGCCATTGACTTCAGTGAGTATAGGATTAAACCCATAATTTAAGAGATATTCTTTGTATGCATATTTATATATGACATAATGCAGTACATTAAAGAAGCAGATTGATGGGTTTTCTATTTTTTGTAAAAATGTTGCAATTTCACATTGAAACAATGTTAACATTTTTTAGGCTAGTATTCTTGCTGTCATATTTGTAGGCAGCCATAAAGATGGCTACAGCTGAAATTTGAGAACAAAATCAAATTTTCCAACCTGTTAATATTGTGATGATATTAAGTATGTGTTTAAATAGCAACATGACTTTGTGAAGCTGATGGAAAACTTGCAGAATTTTGAAACATGAAAAGTAAACAAGAAAAGCTAAATATCTGTGATGCCACAGGTAGAGTGGTGGTGTATTTTTCATTTCTAAATTTTGAATGTCAAAATAATGCAATTTTATTTTAAAAAATGCATTTTTTACCATTTTTTCAAGGTGGTCTCATATGTTGTACACTGATCGTTAATTGTTCTCAGTGAAAGAGGCAATATGTTCTGCACAGAGAACAAAGTGGATGCCCCTTTTAGTTCTGAACCATTGTGCGGTAACATACAAATTATAACAGGCTGATTGTCATTTCCTGGTTTCCATCATTACAGATTGCATTATATCTGAAGGTAAAAATTGTTGAATGCAATTGATGAATCAATATATACTTTATTAGAGAGGGCTACTTTGAGTACAGATCTAACTTACAAATCAAATGTTTCATTTAATTAAGAAAGCACAATTTGATTTTCAAGTTTGACTTTTCAAAGACATTTCCTAATTATTCTGCTACTAAATTGTTTGTTCAAGTATTAGATGGTGAGGGTTGCCATTTATGTATAGAGGGAGGGAAAAACCTTTAATAAATACTGTGTGCAGATATGTGAACCACCTTGTGAGATTCAAGTACCTCCAAACTTTTGGGTGTCTGACAATTAAACCCAGTTTTGGCTGCCTATGCAGTTTAGCTTCCAAGGCTTAGTGTCAAACACCTGAGTAAATAAATGCATAGAAAGGAAAATGTTTTATTAAAACTTGCGTGTTGTTATTAACACAAGTTTATTGATTACTTTTAATCTTAAAGAGCAGCTACCTAACAACCCAGATATGTTTCGTGTAAACCATGGAAAGAACACAAGGCCTATTGGACTTAGTGAAATTCCACAAGGACTAATTTTGAGCATCTCCCGAGGAATGCTGAATGCACCCATTTCCCTAGATAACTGAGGTTATTTAGTGCTCTGTAAGGAGGGCCACAGGGACCTAAATAACTGAGGTTATTTAGCGCTATGAAGTTTGGGCCAAAGTGTGAAGGTTTAGAAGTAAGGGCAATAATGGGAGCAAAAAAAAGACAGTCTAAAATGGAATGACCATCATGAGTTGGCCAGAATCTGCAACCAACTTCCTAGGGAAGTGGTCCTCACCCCTACCTTGGGCAAATTCAAAAAGAGTTTAGATGATCTCCTGCCTGGGGTCTTGTGAACCTAGCATTCATTCCTGCCTGTGGCAGGGGGTCAGGCTAGATGATCTGATCTAGTCCCTCCTGACCCTAGCTACTTTGAAACTATGAGTTACCGCACTGTTGATTTTAGGTTAGTATTTGATGGAAGCAGGAAATTTCATAAGTTGAGCTCCTTACTGTGAACTAAATGATGTTTCATGTTGAATGGAATACATTACAACCAAGCCTTTCAATCTCTTAACAATTTTATTTTTAACAATACTGATAACCATTACAGTTTGCCATCTGGCACGTGCATGCTTTTACTCATTCAACAGCTTTGTTCTGCTTTTACATGTTTGCATTAAAAATGTTTTCCAGCAGCTTATGATGAGCAGAAGTTGGTGCACAGCAGCTTGCTTCCTTCCTTTAACAAGTTCATTCTTCTTTCATGTTGTACATTGGTTGAATTTCACAGTATTTGAAAAAACACTCATCTTGTCTTAAGCTTAGTGAATAGAGAGTGCCCTTTCTTCCTAAACCATACTATATTTATGTTTCTGCCATAAGAATAGAGTCAAACTTGGGAAGAAAACAAAAAATCTCCAACCCATACTTAGCTTATAGTGAAGATTTACGTATAATTACTTCTTATACTTAGCCACTTACTTTGATTTATGGTTTTACAAAAAATAGCGTCAGCAAATCAAGATCTCAATTGTTCTGTAATGAAAGGGTTGCCTCTTTAACACGCTAGATGTAACAGGCCTTGCTGCTAGGGCATTTGTTTTACAAACAGCTTACTTTATAAGAATACTTCAGAGGCAAAGTGCTCTGTATTTTTTCATCAGTGTGAATGCAGTACTGCCTCCTTTCTTAGTATCTGTCAGTGTCTCTTTCTTACATTTTCACATTGAAGAGTTGTACCCATGAGATGAGTAACAGAAATACATTGATGGTATTTACTCGTAGTAGCACTGCTAACTGTTGAAGTGACAATTCCTAATGGGGTGCAGACTATTCAGGTAATGGGCAATGGGATTGCAGTGTGCAGGAGTTAGGAGACCAGCTGCCTGTCTTATCTTGGCAGTTGCCACTTGAAGTTTGCTCGATGTGAGTTTTTGTTGTTCCCAAAATTTTTCAAATCTATAGACCATAGCCTCTTAGTGGGCACATCTACACATGATGCTACGTTGCTGTAGCAACAGGCTACGGTGACATAGTGTCCACAGGCAAAAACCATGAAGCCTCCACTACATTGCCATAGCAACACATTCCCTCGTTATGGCGCATTGCTATGGTGATATAGTGGCCAAAAATAACTGTGCGCCTCCACAGTATGGGCTATTGCTGCACCGTCATGCAGTACTTCCTCTTGGAAGTACTGCATGACGGCACAGGACGAGACACCTGTAGACATGCCCAGTGAGCTGGAACTCCTAAGTCAC